AGGCTGAGGTAGGAGGATTACTTCAAGTTCAAGACCAGCCTGGGCTACAAAGTTAGCTCAAGGCCAGCCTGAACTGGAAGACAATAAATAAATAAATAAATAAATAAGCAAGCAAGCAAACAAGCTCAAATTAAAACTAAATGGCTAAAGTAAAAATTCAACATAAAAAAGAAGATAAAAATTAAAACATCTCCTAGAAATAAGAAGGCTGTGAGTAAAATAAAAAATAGGGGATAAAATTAAAGATCAGACAAAGATCCAACATTTAGCTAACAGAATTTTCAAGGACTCCATACATAACACACATAAAATACTATCAAATCTAATAGAACATATTCCTAGAAATGAAGAAATATATCTTAGTTGAAAGGGTCCAGAAAAATTGGAAGAAATACATACAAGGTATATCATTAAGATATTTCAGAATACTAATGATGAAAGACCACCCAAAAAATAACCAGAAAGAAAAATAAAATCACCTATACAGGCAAAAAGAAATCAATAGATTTTTCAAAATCAGACTGGGAGCTAGAAGTCAACAGAATAATAGTTTTTAAGTTCTGGATGAAATGACTTGCAACCTCAAATCTATTCAAATTATTGATAAAAGACATTTTAGAGCCCTCATTGGCTCAAAAAACCATTTTCCAGGTATTCTTTCTTAGAGAGCTACTAGAAAACGTACTCCTACAAAACAAAGAGTGTTAACTGAGAAAGACGATAACCTGAGACCTAGAAAAAGGCTTGGAACTGGGAAAGCAGAAAACATACAGCTTTGTGTGAGCGAGGGTAAGGAGGGCTCTGGGCTGGGTGGGCAAGGAGAAAAGCAACTCCTTTGAAAATAGGGGAAAACAGTCATGAGTGCAGACAGTTAGGTTATGAAAGTAGGGGACAGGTAACAATGGGCACACACAAAAATGTAATACAAGGTAAATTCAGAGAACAATTACCAGGCTGGGGAGAGAGCTCAGCGGCATAAGCGCCTGCCTGGCAAGTGCAAGGTCCTGAGTTCCATCCCTGTACCAAAAAATAAATCAATTAATTAAACAAAATTGCAAAATCCAGAGATAGCAATGCATGTTATTTAAAAATAAAGATATCAATAATTTAGAGGAAGATGAAACTGAAAGTTGAAAGGGGCTTTTTTTTTATAAACACTACTATCTTCTCAAACTTACTTCTTCTGTCATAACTTTTGATAAAACACTTTCTTATTGAAACAGCCTGGCTAGTCTGTGAAAAGTGGACATAAAGAGACAATGGGAACTTGAGAGATAGCTTGGCAGTCTAAGTGCCTGCCTGGCAAGGCAGACTAGTTGGAATGAAGACTAGTTAGGAAACTAAGGCAAGCTGACAATGGTGCTGGTGGTGGTGGTAGTGAGACAGTGGCTGACAGCAGGGTGGTGGTTATGAAGATCTACTCTTTAAGGTGACAAAACATAAGATCTGTACAAGGTGGGTGGGGTGTGGGGAAGAAACAGGTGCTAGAAATTAAGGGTTCTGTTTTACATATATTAAATTAAGACACATACTAGAGCTCCAAATTGAGTTAACAACAAAAGTTTGATATGTGAGCCTGGGACTCAACAGAGACCTGAAAGGCTGGAGATAAAAATTGTAAGGTGGCCAGACATGGTGGTACACGCTTGTAACTCCAGCACTGAGAGGCTGAGGCAGGTGGACCATTGCAAGTTCAAGGCCAGGAGAGTACATAGTAAGTTCAAGGTCAGCCTGAACTATGTTACCAAGACTCTGTCTCCAAAAACAACAAAAATTTTAAAAAGCAATTAGCAACAGTTGGTATTTAAAACCTCTAGGACTGGATAAATGTGATAGAGACAGTTGGGTGTGGTAGCACACCAAGGCAGACAATCGACAAGAGTCTGAGGCCAGCCTGGGCTGCACAGTGTGTTCAAAGCTGGCCTAAACTACACAGCAAGACCCTGTCAAAAAAGAGACAAAGGGACAGTAAGAAGAGAGACAATGAGAGAGAAAGAGAGACGTAGAGACGCAGAGACTGACAGCCAAAGATAGAGACAGAGACAGAGAGACAGAGAGAATAGGTAAAAGAGAAAATAGAAATATATTTATAAACATATTTGTAGTAAATGTGGTTCAGGGTTAAAGCACTTGGCTAGCATACACCAGGCTCTAGGTTTGACCCCTAGCACGGCTACCAAAAAAAAAAAGAACACTAAAACAGTAACTATAATACATGTATATTTATACATCACAGAAGCATAATAGAAAATGCATATTTTGACATACAGACAAGTACTAGTTTATAAACTTTCTACTTCAGAGACGATGGGTAGATATACAAACAAGTTGATACATGTAATTTATACATTTATGAAAGTAACAGGAATAATGTATTTCCTATTATAAATCATGGTCAATAAGGTTAAATTCTAGAGGAGAAGCAGAAAAGAAAACATGAAAGTGCTGCAGAGTATAAAAGTCAAAATAAATACTTCTCAGAGACAGTGTTCAACTCTATGAGAATGACAACATTCAAGTAGGACTGAAGCAATTCCCAGTAGACCATTTGTCACCGACCTTGACAAGGGCAGCTTCAGCAAATTGCTGAGGAAGGAAACATTTCAGAATGAATGACAGGTGACAGAGCAGCAACAACCAATAAAGACAGAAGGAAAATCTCCCTCAATTCAGAATTCAGTAGGGGCCTGTCAGAGTTCTAAACTAAGACGATTCCTCCCGGCAGACCCCATCATATAGTCAGTTACAGGGCTCACTCAATATTCAGTGTGTTGAACTGGATGAAATCAGAAAACAGAAGACCCAGGCCCAAGAGCATAGTTCTTAATCTGAACCTGTACATTTGGGTTTAAGGAAGGAGAGTCTATATAGTCGGACATAAGGAAGGAAAAGTACACTTGTGTTTTCTTCTAACTTTTTACAGCATTCATCAGATTCTCAAAAGGCTTGTGAGCACCAGAAAGGGAAGAAAAACTGTTTCATGGACATCCACCTAAGTTAGCCTATACTTGGTCAGTGCTGAAGACACTGTTGTTTGATACACATTGAACTATAAATCTTCCCCTCGCAAATTCACATGCTGAAGTCCTAATTCCCAGTATGGCTGCATTTTGAGATAAGGCCTTTAAAGATATAATTAATGCTATATGAGGTCCTAACAGTAAGGGCCCTAATAGTCACGGAACATGTAAGATGTGCATATGCACAAATACACATTTTCTCCAATGTGCACAGCTTTAATACTGCACATTGAGTAACGCAAAGGAGATCAGAACACAACTAGAGGAGAAAGACCACATAAAGATAGAGAGGCTGGCTATCACCAATCCAAGGAGAGAGCCCTCAGAAGAAAATCAACCCTGATCACACACTGATCTCAAGAGTTCAAGCCTTCAGGAATGTGAGAAAATGAATTTCTGTTGATTAAGTGACCCAGTTGATGGTATTTTGCCATGGTAGCTAATAGAGCACCCTAATTTCTTATTTCTGTTACACTCCCCTCCTCTCCTCAAGGCCAGGTCCCATCCCAGTCAAAAGAAGAGGCTACCTCACTCCACCAGGTCTCTCAACAAGAAAATTTATTTAGACTACTTCATGAAACTATTGGTTCTTGACCATTCCAATCAAAACAAGGTGTTATACTCCATCCACTTCTCTTATTTTGTGTTCCCCAAAACTAAAGACGTTTTTAGAAAAATAAGCAGAAATAGTCAAGTAACTATCGAGGGATGAGAAAGAGGTCGAATTCTGATGTCTCAAAGGAAGTCTGGCAACTGTTGTACCAAAGGTGTGATACAGGTTGTATGTTATATCCCCATATCTAGGCAGCCTGTAGATTCCAATTAGAAAAGGTAAGATATGTTTCACCATGTACAAATAAACCACAAGGATCCAGTTTTCCTTATTTCAAGAATCTTAAACACTCACAATCAGACCAAAATGTTGACATCACCAGCAGGAAATTGAGAAAGGTTATTCAATTATTTTATCTCATAAGCTCAGCTGTGTGTCACTGGAGAATGAAAACCTAAAAACCATTTAGAGTTCACAGTATACCTCAGTGGAGGAGAGTACATACTTAGCAAGTATGAGAGGTCTGGGTTCCATCCACCACCAAATTTTAAAAGCTGAATAACGTTAAGTTTGTGCCTACGTACAAGCACACACATACTTTCTCCCGGGACATTGTGTAATGAAGAAGCTCTCTGAGAGATTTATCTTGAATTCTGACCAATTGCTGCACTAATCTGAACCCCAAATTGTCTTGTAAACATAAATTTACAACCAAAATACTTTTGAAATGTTCACAACTGAGAACTTTGCCTAGACCTGTGGTTATCGGTTACTGTTTATGAGAAAAAAAGATTTAAAATTTTGCTAATAGCTTTGAAGGAGTTTAACTTGCTCTTATTCCAAGAAGTAAAATGCCCACGGCAAATGAAAATAGCACCAATGTTGCAGAACAGAGAATTAGGCTACCTGACCCTGGAATTTTAATATAGCTGGTATTTTTAAGTTCTGCCTGTTCTCAATATCTCTGCTTGGAATTTAGTTGAAGTCTAAACTCGAAGTAAATAAACAACTTCATATGTTCTGCAAATCGAAGTGTGTCCCAATCTTGATTAATTAAATAAAGACAGTGAAGCCTCCTACTACCTTTATATATTTTGACACACTCAAAAGGCAAAAGGTGTAACCAATCACTTCCCCTCCGAACATAGGCCACCGTTAAAATCCGGGCAGTGGCAAGGATGGGAACCAAGGGCAGATGATGCTTAAGATATGGCCAGCCCTGAATCCTGTCCTCCGGGGTGTTGGCGCGAGGGCGCATCTCCTGGGAACCCTCTCGTGGGAGGGAGGGACACAACCCGAGGTTTTCCGACGCAGGTCCGTCCGCGCCGGGGGCTGCCGACGCGGAAGGTTTCCGCACGAGACCGCACCGGCGAGCCCGCGAGCCCCGCCGACGCGCGGAGCTGCTCCGCGGGGGCGCCCCCACTCACCGCACACCATCAGCAACAGCACGATCAGCAGCGTGGCCACGAACACCAGCAGAGTCAGCCCCACGTTGTGCCACATCTTGAGCCGGGGGGCGGCCTCAGGGCGCGGGCAGCGTGCGGGCTTCAGCGGTGGGCGGCGCGGCTCCGGGGCGGCATGGGCTGCGGGTGCCCCTGGGCAGCGCCTCCCGAGGGGGAGCACAGAGGCGGGAACTGCGGCGCGGCCGGTCCCTGACCCTCCTTCTGTCGGGGACGGACGGAACGGGGCAAGCCTACGCCCTCATCGCTCCGGGGAGCCGGGGCCGCGGCGCCCGAAGACCCCGGCGGTGGCCGGATGCGCTTCCATGGCGGACGCTGTGCGTCTGAGGAGACGGTGAGCACCGGAGACGCCCGGCAGCCACGAGGCCCTGGATACGGCCCGCGGGAGAATCCTTCGGTCCCAAGGGACGCCAGATGTCAACGTCTCCTAGCGGCGGTCACAGCTGCCTCTCAGACTCAAGCCCCCCTCCGGTGTGGCAGCTCATCACCAAGCGCCCCCTCCGCTCGCCTCCGCCACAACGTGGGGGTGGCTGGGAAGTGAAGTACAGAGCACGACGGAGGCCGTAGGGCGTAGCTACGCTGGAACTACAACTCCCAGAATGCATCCTGGCTCAGGGCTTCGCGTCTCCCTCCCTCCCTTCACCCCCGGGTGGCTTTCTGCGCCCACGTCTCTTTCGGTGGACTGCGGGCCGCAGTTCTCCAGGCGCGCAGCTTAACCTGCTCGCTCCTGCACTGTGCCAAGGCTCCGGGGAGATTTCAACCCTCGCTTGGCTCACAGAGTCATTTAAGTACACCGAGGAAGAAAAAGGGAAGCGGCTGGCTGCCGGTGAACCCAGCCCTATTGCCTGTAGCGAGGTTTGACTACTAAGGACTGTGGAGGAGGTGCGTCCTTGTCCAAGATAAGGTTCAGGGCCAGGAATCTCTGTTTTCGCCTGCAACGGATGTTGTGCTCTGTGTTTCGTAAGTAATGTATTTCAGAAATGACAACTGCTGTGCCCTTAATTCGCCTACCTGAACTGGGAGTTTGATTGAGCTGCGTCCTTGACACCAAGCTACTTAGGACCCACAACTTTAGATTTCGCCTCACTCGGCTGAACAAACATCTGTGCAACAAGACGCTTTGGTAGCTCAAGTACTAGACCTCCATCTGGAATTAAAGTTCCCCGGCTCTGCTGGATCACTTTCATTCATGAAAACGGTGCCCCCAGAAAAGGATACGTATGTCCCTTTTTTTAGGAGGAATGAGAGCCTTGACATTTTCCTGTGACTGTTGCTGCCTGCAGTAGTTCTCCGCCCTTCTGTAATGACTCTTCCGTTTTGCGGCTCCAAAAACAGAAAATCTAAGCAGCAGTTCCCGATTTCATAAATGTTAGCTGTTTCCCGCTGCCTTAGTGCGTGAGCTAGACTCCGTATGAAATAGCATTGTAAACAAACACTATACATGAAAATGAGTGATAATTACTTTCTTTGCAAAAGATTTAATAATGTTCTTGTGAAGAAAGAATGAGCCCAATGTAATTAAAATCTAGGGAAATATAGTCTATGCTTTTTTGCATGAATGATTTAATTATGTTGTATAAATAAAACAGTTTTTAAAAATATGGTTGAGACAGAAAAACAAAGAAATTATTCTAAGACTTCCTACAATATGCCTTCTCCTTCATTTGCATACCTGTATTGAATATCTGTAGGTGCCAGGCCCTGTTCTAGGTGCTGGACTTACAGCAATGAACAAGGTAAACAAAGGTGCCTATGCTGCACATGCTTATATTATGGTTGGAAGAATACAGACAGTGGGCATGAATAGAGAAATTGCAGGAACTGCAAAATCATGGGATGAAAATAAGGCTAGATGGTGAAGATGGAAGTGTTACTTTAATTTGGGAAGGCTGGAGAAAATGTACCTGAGGAAGTAGCATTTGATCTAAATTCTGAATGACTACAAAGACCCAGCCTTGGGAAGCCCTCAAGGAAGAGCTTATGAGGTCATGGGAGCAGCTTGCACAACCGTGGCGCTTCCCTGAGCCTTGGCAGTGTTTCTCGGCTCTCCATGCACGTTGGGAATCACCTGGGGAGATTTCAGATTACAGCTAGCCGGATCTCACCCCATACTGAAGACTCTGAACCTCTGGAGGCAGAACCAAAGCACTTTAAAAGCCCCTATTCTAATGTGTACTTTCAAACTATGATTCTCAAAAAATGATCTCGAGGTCAGCAGGGTCACCTGGGGACTTGTTAGAACTGCCAGGAACACCTATTAAGTTCAAAAATCCATGATAATCTAAGTAAAAGACAGTGGCTTCTGTTAAGGCAGTCACCACTGGAGTTGGTGAAAAGTGGAATACAGAGAATACATTTTGGAAGGAAAATCATCAGGATTAGCTCATGAATTAGATGTGGGGGGCAGTGAAGGAAAAGAATCAGAACTATCCTCAGATATGGTGTAAAGGGAACCCTTACATTAGCAGGACTGTAAATCAATACAGACATTGTAAATCTGGAAGTTCCTAAAAAAAAAAACTTAGAAACAGCTAGCTTGTGAGTCAGTAATGCCATAACTGTATCTATCCAAAGAAAGGAAACCGTTGAGCCATCTGTGTTCCTATGTTTATTGTAGCACTATTCACAGTGATCGATCTAGAGAATTAATCTAAGTGTCTATGAACAGATTAATGGATAAATGGGGTGTATATACACAAGAAGGTACTATTCAGCCAGGAAAAAAGGATGAAATCTTGTCATTGCAGCAACATGGATGAACCTAGAGGATGTTATGTTAAATAAAGCAGAAACAAAGACACGTATGATGTCATTTAAACTCATATCACCTCATCTTAAAGTATTAATCTCATAGAAATAGAAAGGAAAATGGTGGTTACTTTTCAAACCACAGGAAGGAAATAAGGGAACAGGTGGGAAGATAATTGGTCAAAGGTTATATAATTGCAGTTAGATAAGAGTAAGTTTCGGTGATATGCTGCTTGTATAGTGACTACTATGACAATATATTGTAATAAACATTTTGCAAATGGGAAGAGGACCAAGAAATGGAAGGAACAGGGAAAAAGTGGGGAGCAGGGGCTCTCTTAATACTACCACATTGGGTATTGGGCTCCAAGGTGTGAATGTTTTTGAGGATACCAACACTCACAACAGAACAGGGGTTATTCCTTTCATGACAAGTTTGCTTATGTGCATGTGTATGCCTGGTTTCCATACCTGAGTGTTAAGGCAGAACTCTTACTCTTCCCCTGTTATTTCTTTGAGGGAAGAAGCTCAACTGGTATACTGTGTCTGGTCTTTTTGTGAACATTTATTCCCTCTGTCTCCAGTCAAAGGAAGAGGGATTTACCTAACTGGTATGTTTAAGAGAAGTAAATTTGGCTTCTCCATGTCTTCTTGAATAAGAGCTACCTTATTCATAAAGGCCACTTGCAAGGGATGCTCAACCTAGTTGTCTTAACCTCGCATTTAATTAACAGGCCTGGCTGGCTCACATTTGTAAGTTATCTAACATAGCATTTATTATCAATAAAGGTGATATCTGGGCCTCCAAACACCATTTTTTTTTTTTGAGAGAGAGAGAGAGAGAGAGAGAGAGAGAGAGAGAGAGAGAGAGAGGAGTCTCACTATGTAGCTGAGACTGGCCTTGAACTTTCAATCCTCCTACTTCAGCCTCCCAAGTGCCGTGATTACAGTTGCACCTCCTTTTTTACAACTTACATATCTGGTGACGTCATTGATTATTCCCTTCCCATAATCCAACACTGCTTTTAGTTAAAGGAAGGGGGCATGAATTCAGCACTTGTGTACTGCCATGTGGTGGATCTTTGTTGGATTTTGATACAAATGTTTGGCACACCCTGGCCCACCTGTTTCACCACCCTCTCCTGCCTGATTATGTCTCTCCTCTCTTGCATGTTTGTGTCTTTGCAGGGCCTTCTTATAAGGACAGCAGAGCCTGGATTGAGGGCTTACTCCAATCCAGTGTGATCTCATCTTAATGTGACTAAATACATAAAATTATGTGTTTTTTGGGGGGTTTTGTTTGTTTGTTTTTGCGGTCCTGGGGATTGAACTCAGGACCTAGCGCTTGCCAGGCAAGCACTTATTCTACTGAGCTATCTCCCAGCCCTAAAATTATGTGTTAATCAAAAATAAAATTAAAGGCTGGGGCTATTCTTCAATGATAGAACATTTGCTTAGTATTAACAAGAGCCCTGGGTTTGATCCCAGCAGCATAAGAACTAATAAAATAAACACAATTTTTAAAATGCTGCTCTGGCAGCAAGATGGAGGAAACATTGAGAGTGAATATAGAAAGGCTGGAGATTATTTAAGATATATTAGCATAATCCAGAACAGTGGCCTCTAATTGTGCTTTAATGAGCTTCTAGTAATGTAGACTACATGAAGCAAGCCAAACTTCTGGCTGGATACAATTTTTAAAAATGAGAACTAAAAAAGAAAAAAACAACGTTCTACAAATATCAAACACCCAATAAAATAATAGGACTGAGACACCAACAGCAACCCCACAGGAATGAGGGACACTAAAAATAAACCTGCAGCTTGGATCAGCTTTGTCTGGGCTGATGACCCAGAAAAGTTCAAACTCTAAAATTGGATGAAGGAAATCCTGGATTAGTACAGCCCTCAGGACTGGCAGAGGCAAATGAAAATCCTCATTGTCCCAGGCCACAAATTATTTCTACAAATAACTTCAAACATGATTTCCAGCACATACTCAAACACGTTTTTGATTGTATGGTATTCTTAATTTAAAACAAATTTTTCAACATATGCATGTATGCGTTTATTTAGAAATCCTCACACTTATTAGTTTGCATTACGGGATGCACAGAAATAGGAATGAAAAAATGTGTCTTTTTTTAAGTTTTCATTTTTAATTGTAGAGAGAAATGTTTAATTTTAGAGTTAATATTTAATATCATTGTACTAGGGTTCTGGAGCCGCACAGGGCAAGGGATCACAGCGTGAGTCATAAGAGACAACAGAAATGCTGTATTGGATCTATTCTGAAGCCAAAAAGCCCAAATTCAAGGTGTGGACAGGGCCACGATTTCTGTGAGGACTCTAGGGAGAGATCTTGTCTTTAAATATTTTTCCCAGAGAAAATCCAGAAAACTTGTGTGTCACAAAAGGGCTTGTTAAGGCGGTGGTGAAGGAAAGCAAGAGACAGGAAAAGGAATATTGTGGGACTGTCCTGCTTCAA